TGAGTAGAAAAAGAACACTGATCCCATTTTAGCAGACCGGTTCTATCAAGTTCCTTAACACCCTCTTCCATGTACGTGTACAGTAAATATGTATGGATATATAAATCTTCACACGTACACATTTGTGGGCGTGTATATTTCGGTCACTGACCCTTGCTTGAAGTTCCTCTCGAAAGCAGGGTATGCGAAGGAATTTTCAGTGGGCACGCGACTCTCTTCGTCTATTTATTGATTGATATTTATTTACACGTGTCTGTATCTCTCTCTCTCTCTCTCTCTCTCTCTCTCTCTCTCTCTCTCTCTCTCTCTCTCTCTCTCTCTCTCTCTCTCTCTCTCTCTCTTTTTATATATATGTATATATATATGTTTATATATTTATTTACATATATGAATATATATATGTATGTGTGTGTGTGTGTGTGTGTGTGTGTGTGTGTGTGTGTGTGTGTGTGTGTATGTATATATATATATATATATATATATATATATATATATATATATATATATATATAAATATATATATATATATATATATATATATATATATATATATATATATATATATATATAAACAAACATGTGTGTGTGTTAACCGATAAAAAAAACATCTTTACAGCAATCAAATTCATAATTTGTATTTACACTTGTTTGTTTTTCATCCATTAGTGCTCTTTTAAAGCGCTTGGCAGCTGTTTTGATTCATCGGGCTCCTTTAGATTTAAAAAGCCCTTTGCTGAGAGATAACTACCTTGATTTGCCCATTAGTATATTGTTAAGTGTAGCTGACGTCATTTCGGCCATATATGTGGCTCGTGTGATGAAATGTGCCTTTTGAAAGTCAGCCCTTAGATTTAATGGGTTTTGTTCCTTATCATGTCTTGTTTTTTTTGTTTTGTTTTTTTTTAACATTCAGCGTGTAATAAGATGTAATAAGAAAGCAGTAAGCAGCAGTGCATTAAAAGACAAATAAACAAAGCAACCACAATATGTCAGAAATATCGAAGTGCTGGCAGACATTAAAGCTATGGAATTTACAAACAGTGTCTTTTTTTTTTTAAGAAAATATAAAACTGATATGATATGAATATCCTTTGTACTCAGATCATTAACAATGTTATATGTATGTGTGTATATATACATTTATAAATAGATAGATAGAAAGATTAGATAGATAGATAGATAGATAGATAGATAGATAGATTGATTGATAGATAGATAGACAGATAGATAGATAGATATGTAGATAGACACAGAGAGAGATATTTTTTTCTTCTTTTTCTTCTTTATTTTACAATACGTATTCATATTTTTTTTACATTCTATTTAATTCCAGTTTTCTTCTGCACTTCATCCTTTTTGACTCGATGATTTACTTACTGTAACTTTGTTTATTAGTTTTGACTTTAGAAATCTAAACATTTAAATATGTCTTAAGCGATACCTATTTACCCAAGGGCCCTACAACATATAAATCAAGCCCTGTATATGTAAACGAGTGTGTGTATGTGCGTGTGATGGCGCGCGCGCGCGCGCGCGTGTGTGTGTGTGTGTGTGTGTGTATGTGTGTTTCAATACCCCGCCGCGGCAGTCGTAAAAATGCCTGCGCTCCGACTGCTGGTTGGAGCCTGATCTCACTGCGAGAAAACGACATATCGCATTGAGAAGTCAAACGCAGGTGTCGTAGGGGAAGTCACCGCCATGGCACAGGTGTTAGCGCGCTGAATCGTGGTTGATTAGGAAGGACATCCAATAAGGCAAGGGTGAGACTGTCAAATAACTTCTCAAATAATGCATTGAGAGAGTCCGATCTCCTGCAGTGGAAAAATGGCTATTGGAAAAAAAAATAAATAAAAAGAAATAAAAGGAAAAAAGAAAAAAAGAAAGAAAGAAAGAAAGAAAAAATATATCTATATATGAATATATATATATATATATATATATATATATATATATATATATATATATATATATGCGAGTGTATTTATTTCCGTATCCAAGAGGTATCTGTCAATTTCTCTCTTTTGTGCTAATGCTAATAAGGATAATAACGTAATGATGGATAAAGCAATTTATCATGTAAATCACAGTTGTACCGTAACACTAAACCACAAAACATTACACTTATTCAGTATGTTAAATCAGAATTAAAAACACAAGGGATGCATTTGTGACACCATAATTATTCAAGCAATATATATAAGATTAAAAGTATTAGGGAGAGTGAAAATAAGACGAAAATATATGCCTAAACTAGAGGGTAAAAGACAACAATGAACGAAACATTCAATTAAATTTGATAAATCCATTCAACAAATATACACACAATTAAGAATATCTAAAAAAAATACTTGGGATTGTCCTTGCCATGTCTTATACACCAAATAAGATACATCGATGATGATAAGATTAAAAGCTGCTGTATCTATGTAACCTTTCTCTCTCTCTCTTTCTTCCTCTCTCTCTCTCTCTCTCTCTCTCTCTCTCTCTCTCTTCCTCTCTC